CCAGTGGCTCGACGGTTTACGGGATCGCCTTGTAACCATAAGGTACTGGGTTCGAAAAGCCCGTTGGGTGCGTACTGTTGAAGAGTCCCAAACTAGGACAAAAATAAAATAAAAATTAGTTAGGGTTACTGCTTACATCATCAAAATGTGCCAAAAATGTGATGAATAATCAAGATTGTAACTAGCAGGAGTTAGGTTGGGTAAAGATTGGTAATTATTGACAAAGGTTGCGTAATATGAAATAGGATCTCAATGGAGGCACGTGTCTAAAAGAGACAAAGATCATTATGCCGATTGGATAACTACGAAAAGGTAACAGTGGTTCGATAATACTGAACAATCTTCACCACCATCACCACCACTCACCCCCGCAAGTTACAATTTCTGGCTATTCACCACCACATTTAAGAAACATTTTGATGACGTAAACTGTAACCGTAACTAATTTTTATTTATATATTTATTTATTTATCCTAATTTATACATACGCACACACATAGAAGAAAATAATTATGTATAAATGCGATTGTACAACTGAGCTAAGTGATGAACAAATTTGACGGCGGTGGCGAAAAGAGACTCTTCGCTGAACTTTTTTGTTCTTTAAAAAATGAATCATCCAAGAACCACTCGTCTTGTAAATATTCAGCAGGAAATGTAGAGTGATCGGTTGTACACTCAGAAGGCTATTGAGCGATATAAAGTGTTAGACACTCAGGTGGAACCCGAATGAGAAAAAACTAGTTGAACATGCTTTAGACGGTGATATGGAAGGGATCAATGTGCGGAGGGGTGGGGGATGGGGGGAAGTGGTGGGAGGAAATGAAAGCGCGCTTATATGGGCAGTCATAGAGTCAGCCAAATACACAGAGGACTGGTGAGAACAGAGTAAAATGGCGTTGTCCTGTCGAAGCCCTGCTCCTTCTCATATTCAGAACCCTAGGGAATGTACATTAAAATAAAGGTATTTCCCAATGAATGAAAAACAAAACGATATTGTCGTTTGTTTTTACTGACGTTTCGCTAATCAATGCTGCTGCTGCTGCTGCTAATAGCTTTATCAAAGCAGGAGTAATATTAAACCAGAAGAATTTACAAAATCTCAGCGTATATATACACACACATAACAACTTGGTCATCGTTCATCAGCATGGCGGGTAATTCTGTTTACGTTGTTGTCAAGTTGGCCAGTTGGCGAAGATAATAAAACCAAGTGTGTGTGTAAGCGAGAGTGTGGATTGTTAGATTTGACCAGTGTATGAAACTAGAATAGTAGCGTGTGTTTAAATAATCGAAGCGCTTATCACATACATCCGTTTTGATTTTGCTATTTCATGGGGGAGGTGGTGTGTGCTGTAACCAGGTCAAATTCTGTTTTTACTCCATCATTTTATTTTTTTATTTTTATTTTTGATTTACAGCTTTATTCCACACTGCATTTTTGGTACAAGTATGGAATTTTCAGCATGGATATCGGTAGCCCAAATTTTGCAGGCCGAACATAGATATCAGGTGTGCGTCGGCATGGACTCGAACCCCGGACCATTTGTATGGTCGGCGAGAATCATAACCACTATTCATTTCAGACAATTTATGTTCCATTTGATGTGAAGTGCTTCTGATGATATGAGGCGTTGTTTGTGATTTCTGAAACTTTTTCTGGATGATGATTTCAATATTGTCAAAATCAACTTTGTGACCTGATTGATTCTATGGCGTAGCGTGTCGTGTAGACAACCTATTGCTGATGATTTTTGAAGTCTTTCTAGTTCAACTGGATTTATTTCTCGGTAGTCGAACAGATGAGGGTCTCTACACTGTTCATTTCTTCTGATTGCCTAGTGATGTTTGTCCGATGTATATATCGCATCACACTCCGAAATTTTATTTTGTGAACACAATTAGATAGAGAATCTTTAGGGATTTGGTCTTTTACATGGACAAGGTTGCTTTGTAGTGAGTGTGCGTGTCTGATGTTTTGAAGAGAACTGTAATGTCAAGCGTATTGAGTACTCTTCTGATGATGCTGTTTGATATCTCTGATCTATGTGGAATGATGACAACTGTTGATGTCCATGTTTTCAGAATACGTGTTTTCGACCACACTTAATGTCAGTGTTGATTTTGTTGATGACGTTCCTTGGATAGTTGTTTTGCTTGACGAGAGTTTCAGTAATGTTTGATATCTCTTCTTCCGCATTTTCTTGCTCATCCGTTAACATCAGAGAGTGTGCTCGTCTAAGAAGACTTGAAACAACTGAAATCTTTGCTCTGATGGGGTGTGATGATTTGAAGTTTAAATATTTATTGGAGTGGGTTTTCTTCCTGAATATGGATACATTGAAATGTCCGTTTCCTTTCTCTTAACTAGGCAGTCCAGAAATGGTAGTTCACCGATGTCTGATTCTGCTTCCGAAGTGAACTGAATTTTGGGAGATACACAGTTTATTTTCTCCAGAAATGAATTGTGTAGATCTCGTTTTAGTACTACAAAAGTATCATCCACATATCTTAACCATATTTTAGGAGTGAGTATGCTTGAAAATATATTATTTTCGAATTTATTCATGTAAAGATCGGCGACTATTGAAGAGACTGGTGAGCCCATAGCAATACCATTTGTCTGTCTATATAAACTCCCTTTAAATTTAAAATAATTACTTTCTAGACAGAACTGTAAGCTCTTAATTATTTCACTGGTGTCCAGTGGACATCTCTGTGATAGTGTTGTATCTGATTCTAGTAGACTGGAAATGATATCAAGACTTTCGGTAATAGGGATACTAGTATATAATGAGTTAATATTATAGCTTATCATAATGTCTTCTTTATCAATTTCTCGGTGTTCTATTTGGGATTTGAAATCATACGAATTTTTTACAATATTATGAGTGTCCTTTTGTAGTGGTTTTGTATTTCCCAGTGAATGAATGAAAAAACCAAGTGATATTGTTTTTACTGACATTTCACTATTTAATGCTAATAGTTTTTATCAAAGTATCAATAAACCAGAATGCACAAAATCTCAGCTTATATATATAACAACTTAACAGCCCCTTAGTATGGGGTCATTTTTAGTTGTCGAATTGACCAATTGGAGAAAATAAACAATCTATCTCACAGAAACCAGTTCACTTCGAAAGCGAAATCAAACATCGATGAACTATCATTTCTGGACTGCCTAGTTAAGAGAAAGGAAACGGACATTTCAATGTATCCATATTCAGGAAGAAAACCCACTCCAATAAATATTTAAACTTCAAATCATCACACCCCATCAGAGCAAAGATTTCAGTTGTTTCAAGTCTTCTTAGACGAGCACACTCTCTGATGTTAACGGATGAGCAAGAAAATGCGGAAGAAGAGATATCAAACATTACTGAAACTCTCGTCAAGCAAAACAACTATCCAAGGAACGTCATCAACAAAATCAACACTGACATTAAGTGTGGTCGAAAACACGTATTCTGAAAACATGGACATCAACAGTTGTCATCATTCCACATAGATCAGAGATATCAAACAGCATCATCAGAAGAGTACTCAATACGCTTGACATTACAGTTCTCTTCAAAACATCAGACACGCACACTCACTACAAAGCAACCTTGTCCATGTAAAAGACCAAATCCCTAAAGATTCTCTATCTAATTGTGTTCACAAAATAAAATTTCGGAGTGTGATGCGATATATACATCGGACAAACATCACTAGGCAATCAGAAGAAATGAACAGTGTAGAGACCCTCATCTGTTCGACTACCGAGAAATAAATCCAGTTGAACTAGAAAGACTTCAAAAATCATCAGCAATAGGTTGTCTACACGACACGCTACGCTATAGAATCAATCAGGTCACAAAGTTGATTTTGACAATATTGAAATCATCATCCAGAAAAAGTTTCAGAAATCACAAACAACGCCTCATATCATCAGAAGCGCTTCACATCAAATGGAACATAAATTGTCTGAAATGAATATAAATGATGGAGTAAGACAGAATTTGACCTGGTTTCAGCACACACCACCTCCCCCATGAAGTAGCAAAATCAACGCAAATGTGATAAGCAAGTTCACTCTATGTAAACACACACCATTTTCATAATTCTGCACACTGATCTAATCCAACAATCTACACTTGATTTTGTTATCTTTGCCAATTCGCCAACTTGACAACCAATAATCACCCCAGACTAACGAACGATGATCCAGTTAGTAAACTTTGTTTTGATATAATAACAGATATACTATTACCTTTGATATTTGGTTTGAACGATCTTCATTGTTATTTTGACATTCAATATGTCCTTTTAAGTTGAACTAAGTCTATGTATCTTTTTCTCACCCCCTAACTTTTTGTTATACATATGCTGAGTGTATTTTGTAAATTCCGGTTTAATAATACTGCTTTGATAAAGCTATTAGCAGAAGCATTAAATAGCGAAACGTCAGTAAAACAACGACAATATCGTTTTGGCTTTTTCATTCATTGGGAAATACAAAACCTCTATTATAATACAAAAGGAAGTTTAATAATAATGAATACCATATAACAAGTGTCCAAATTTTTTCAAACTGTTAAAAGTGAACTTGGTCTACGGACTTATATAATCTAGGGAATTGTTAAGAAGAGGCAAAACATGCAATTATCAGGCCATTGTCATGTCTCAGTCAAGTTATTCGCGTATCGTTGACATGCATTTGTTTCTGCTTTCTGATTGGACGCTTGCACAATTCCAAACTCTCAACCGGATTGGTTGATTTCCAGTCTACCTTATTTTCTGTATAAATACAGTCACTTATGTCATAAATAAAAGATTCTGGTTTTACCGCTGATTTTCGCGTGTTCTGCTTTACCAGTTAAGTGGGCGCTGGTCAGTAGTTAAGCAGTTACCTCGAGACAAAAGATCTAGCATCATAACAGGAATATCATTTTAAATTCATTTATTTAGAATTGCCTTAGATTATATATATATATATATATTAAACAGTCGATTCTTACCTTCATAATGAGCAATAAAACCTGTCGTCATACTTCCAGCTGATCGTCTATACTCTAACCAAAGACGTGATCCAGTTGAAATTAGTGGTGGAGGCAAAGTTTGACCACAATATCGACCTAAATAAGGAAATCAAACTTCATAATGCCAATGATTTAGATTTGATTGACAGACAAAATCAAATGTATTAGTATCAAGGATCAAAACCTTTGATATCTTTGGACATAACATATTTATTCACAAATGTAACCCTAATAGAAACAGTTAGATAAGTATGTGAACAAGTATGTAGTCAACCAGTCGATAAACATTGGCATCATGACGGAAGTCCTAGAAGAATTGTTATTAAGGTGTAAAATGAATGTAGATTTCAAATTTGATGGCACACTTCACAGGCAAGTGGACTAGGTGGTGATAGGTTCCATATTAGGTCCCATTTTGGTAGATTTCTTTCTTAGTAAACTAGAAAATGAACCTTTGAACAGCTTTATCAAAAAATTGGCATTTTATTGCCAGTAAATGGATGACACCTTTATTCTTTGTGATAATCAATCTTACAGGAACACAATAATAACTGAATTTAATGAAGTACATTCTACACTATGAACTTCACATTCAAAGAGGAATCTCAAAATATAATGATGAATTGCCTTCCTAGATGTCCTGCTCCCTGCAAGAAAACCAGGTGGTAGTATAAAGAGAAGTCTGCATAGTCGCAGCACATGGACAGGATAATATACACATATTTTCACAGCTTCATTCCTCTCCAGTACAAAAGAAATTTAGTAAGCACTATCACTCAGCCACACTGTTCGAACAATGTCCTCAGGAGAAGTAGGTGAAGGCGAATTAAGGATTGTATGTGATACCTTGGTTGGAAACAGCCAATCTTGACAAACTTATCAAGAAACACACGATACACTATCCGTGAAGAAGAAGCCTTTATAAATACGACTACGAATCAAGGATGAAATACTCAGTGAAATAATTATGAAGAAGTTAAGAAAATCAATTTTAAAGAACTTTTAATGTTGACAAACTACAAGTCTTATTTTCTACTCGACCGATGGTGATTGCCCAATTGAAAGATGAATTACCTGGGTTAGCGAACACTAATTGTATCTACCAATTCAACTGCACTTGTCGTGGAGCAAGTTATGTTGATTGTTGCTCTACAAACTTGATTATTTGTGCTAGGGAACATTTCACAGTGTGGCTAAGTAAGGATGTAGTAAAATCCATCAACACTTCGATGTTTGATCGCCTGGCTCGAACCAGCGAGCATTTAAGGTAACTAATAAACTTCCAAAGCCATCCAGATACCGCATGCTTCGACACATTAGAGGCTAACGCAATTCGCGTGAAACAACCAGTACTTTGTGCGCAAAAGAAGCAAGTTCAATCAGCCGCTACTACTACTGCCCTGGCCAGCCTTCATTGGGGACTATTAATTCATGATTTGTGTATTATTGTCATCTTTCCTTAATTTTCCTGACATTCATTTGAATGTTATGTTGATGCCATTGAACTATAATACATTGATATTACCATTATTGATTCGGTGTTATTTAAACAACGGCATTAATGTTGTTCATAAACACTAATTCATTCAGTACTAGGGATGGATGCATATAACTGTGGGACCTGATGATGAAGTTATAATGAAGTTCAGTAACCGTTCTTTCGAAGATTTTATTTGTGTTAATGCAGTGGTAGTTGTAGTAGTGTAAGCAAGAAAAGACCGATGAAGCTTGAAGCCAATGTTTATGAGGAGGAACTCATTCTAAGTACATAAATTTGATATATCACATCTCCAATGCTTTATTTGCACACCATTGGCAAATTGATCGAATATCATCACCACATTGAATAGCCTGTTGGATTCTACACAGTGTTTCTAATGTTCTTTTCACAGTTCTGTTCTTCGATTGCTTTTTTCCAGGCTTTTCTGAGTTGGCTCGCTAATATACCACTTCTATCCGATTATAAATTGCACTCAGCTCAGTAGTAGTGTAACAACAGAAGACAAGGGCCAGGCAACAGATCACTTTATTACGGAAATCAACACGTATTTATATAAATTTCACATACATTATTATAGCCTAGTCAAGTAGACAAAAGTAGCAGTCTTCTGATTGGTTGTTTTCGAGTTCCTCGGACGGAAAGTGGAGTGGAGCCATCTATCTGCGAATGATATTTGCCCACGTTTAAGTTTTCTGTGATTGGTTGTTGAAACAGCCTTGTTCATATTTTTTCTCACGGCCCATATTAATGACCTAGACATTGACGTAGATTAATGTCAACCAATTGGCTAGCAGGCTGCTCTCACCACAAATATATCGTTAGCAACAGAATACTATATATGTATGTGTTTGAGCATACTATCACACGTTCAGTGATTGGTTAATAGAATATAAACCGTATGTATATAGATGTATAAACAGCGGTTCGATCACCTTGGTTTCCGTGTCTTGCCTTTTGCTGTTACATTTGGTGTCTCTGCCTGCTGAGAAATGAAAAGCATATGCCCTGCAGTTTTTGAAGAAGGAGAAATATATACATCTTGCAGAACTTCGAAGTTGTTGCGGATTTTGAATGGCGTTCAAGATCCCTACCAGAGAAGAGGCTGTTACTTGGAACGCTGCTAAGAGATTAGGCGAAGGGAGCATATTATAGTGTGAGGCAAAACACCGGCAAAAACGCACCAGTTGGCATTCACCCACCATCAGTCAGCAATGCGTGTACCTGCAACCACATTGAAGGAACAACTCAATGTCCCTTCTACCAATTAAACTGATCCTATGAAGCCAGTTCCATAGGCCCCACAGTTAGGCGTGTTTCTCGTCCGATTTCGAAACATCACCATACGTCGTTGGTTTAGGCAAAGGACAAACAAAATCAATTCGTAGCGCTATTCCATCCCACCCATCTCATGGAGACAGAACAAAGATTCATGTTAACAAGGTAGTTTTCAAAGTCATTTGTCGCACATACCAGCTAACCTTAACTCCACCTTATGAGTCTGTCTACTAATACGTATTGCGGAGGCTGGCCGTCGGGATCTACATTAAGAAACCTAAGTTATGTATGTATCTAAAAGAAGAAGCTGGTTCAGATACTGTCCTTACTTTGCTTGCCATCTAGGTTCGAATGATCCTCACTTCGTTGTTGTGTAAATTTCCTTAGTTCTATTTGCTATCACAAGCGAATTTTACAAGCGAAAACCGACAAACTGGTCGAAGAGGCGGCAAAGACAGGACTCCAAGTGAACATAAATAAGACGGAGGTGACGAAAATAACCAGCCAACAATAACAATAGCAGCAGCAACATCCAGCGTCAATCACTATCAACGGGAGGGATTTGAAAGATGTTACTTCATTCACTTATCTAGGGAGCATTGTCTCAACTACAGGGGGAATGGACGAGGATGTCAAATCGAGCGAGCATCGGGAGGGCGAGAAACACATTCATCAGCCTGAAATCAATCTGGAAATCTTCGTCACTCAGCATCACCAACAAAATTCGGATTTTCAATACAAACGTAAAGTCAGTCAGTTCTTCTATACGGATCAGAAACTTGGCGGGCGGGCGGGTCACAAAGAATATTTCCAACAGCCTTTTGCGGACCAGATCTTTATCAATAACTGTCTTCACTGACTCTGTACTGAAGATCAGATGGCCGGGTTGAGCCAGAAAGAATCACCAACAAGGAACTTTGGGAACAAACAAAGCAAGAACCAATCGCCCAACAAATATGCAGTAGAAAGTAGAGATGGATCAGACACTCGCTGAGGAGACCGCTGGGTGACATGGCACATTCACTCATCAACCTGAAACAACCAATCTCGAAAGCATCATCACTCAGCATCAAGAACAAAATCCCGTCGGATTTTCAATACAAACGTAAAGTCAGTCAGTTCTTCTATACGGATCAGGAACTTGGCGGGCGGGTCACAAAGAATATTTCCAACAGCCTTTTGCGGACCAGATCTTTATCAATAACTGTCTTCACTGACTCTATACTGAAGATCAGATGGCCGGGTTGAGCCAGAAAGAATCACCAACAAGAAACTTTGGGAACAAACAAAACAAGAATCAATCGCCAACCAACAAATATGCAGGAGAAAGTGGAGATGGATCGGACACTCGCTGAGGAGACCGCTGGGTGACATGGCGCGTCAAGCCCTCAAGTGGAACTCGAAACGGAAGCGGCGTGTGGGACGTCAGTGCAAGGGTGACATGGAGAAGATCGTGTGCGTGAAGAGGAGTTGAAAGAGTATGGAATAACATGGATGCAGGTGAAAAGTAAGTACAGCAAAAGACAGAAGCAAGTGGAGACGAGAAGTTGAAGCCCTATGTTACACTAGGAACCCAAGGGAACAATAATAATAATAATAATTTGCTATCACATTTTTATGCTTCCTATTCTAATTTATGCATCTTTCGTGAACTGTCTGTAATTCAATTGAATTTTAGATTTTCCCGTCGATTGTTTGGACTGAAGTGTTCGGTCTCAGGTTGACATGTCGGCTTCTTTTGCAGATGTTTAGATGATGTCTGGGCATTTAACTAGTATTCAACTGGTGGATGTTGACAGGCAGTCGAATCCAGGATAAAGCGCATTTCATCCTATTTGTATGGGAAATCTAAAATTCATTTAAATAATTAACAAGACCCTTAACACGAGAGGTCTCTCTGGTGACCATAGTGGTCTAGTGGAAAACGCTTTGGCGTTTGAAACTATGAGCACTGAGTTCGAGCCCTGGTGGGGATATCATTACTCAGTGGGGAATGCAGGTCCGTACAGATAAACGAGTCCCAAATAGAACGAAACGCGCATCCTGGTGGATTCTACTGCTAGTCACCATCCACCACCGGTTAAATGTCTGTAATTCCATTGTGATCTTACTCAACAAATCGATAGTATTTAAAATGCGCACCAATACTGTTACTGACGAGATTATTCTAGAATATTCTATGTATGTAAAGATGTATGTACATATATTAGTAGAGCCAGAGAAGGAAATTATCGATAAAGGATATTCTTTACTGCTGAATGAATATATTTTTTTAAAGTAAAAACACTGTGTGAAGTAACGCTTACCAATTAACGGTGAACCGAAGTAATACCCATCCCGTATCTCCACATAATCATTAATACATGAAATACGATGAACAGATTTCTGATTTAATTCATACGTTTTATGCGAACTTTTCAAATTAGTCGACGTGGGCATTGAATCTTGTGTAATAGGTCCAGATATATCTATATGAGTGAAATTTAAACGAATTCTCTCCCCAGAAGCTGCATTTATTCTCCATTGACATAATATAGGACTAGCTGATGTAAATCCCAATGCCGAGGATACAGTTGATTTTGATGATCGGCTCATTGCAATCATTGAAACTTCTTCAGTATTAAATGATCCTTTATATGAATTGTACGAATGACCATCATTGACCATACCAATAAGACTATGGTCTTCATTACCGTCAATGATGTTACCGTTTGTTAAAGGTTTATACGGATGATACATATTCTCACTGTCGTCTGGTAGAAGATGTGCAACGGATAAAGCATTACCCAATTGGATTGAATGTTCCATACCTATAGGATCTGGAAACAGTGAAGCGTTAGCACTTCCACGGAATTGATCCTCCAATTTCCATGCCATTTGTGGAGAGGATAAACTGCCAGCTGGTTCTAGAAGTGTACGACCACAGGCTGAAATAGTATTTAAGAATATTTTTCAATTAATAGGTGAATCTATTTTATAAAAACCGGAATAATAATGTTCTGTTTAAGTCAAAATTAATGAAGAAATTACTTTTACTTAGTCTTGTACCTTCGCTGAAATCCTTTAATGACCCAAAACAATTTGCCTATAAGCACAGTAGAAGCACTCTAGATGCAGCTGCCGTCTTATATCATATCACACTGCTTCCAGTCTAGACAAGGGGCCTAAATTTGTTCGTTGTGCCTTCCTAGACTATACATCTGCTTTCAACTCGGTCGGTCCCTAGGGACATCTTATTAAATAAACTTGCAGCTAGTCAAACAGAATGTTGAGCTGTTAACTGGTTATATTCCTATTTCTCAGAAAGAAAGCAGTACACCGTATATAAAGGGAAGTCTTCCACTTCATTGCCTACTGAAGAAGCTGGTGTCCTTCAAGGTGCTGTTCTTTCCCCTTTTCTGTCTTCTTTCTTCTTGCATGACTTGCCTCACTCTGATGAAATAAACTTTGTGAAGTACGCTGATGATTTAACGGTTTCAATGGCTGTTAACTCCCAGCTAGATTGTACTCAAAATAAATAGCCTTCTATCAGGAGTCAGTAAATGGTCTGAGTCTAACGGTCTTAAACTGAATCCTTCCTTCTAAAATGTCAAAATGTTAATTTCAGCTTAAGATGTAAAAGACAGTTGAAAGAAGTCATCGATTCTCATGACAGTTGTAAAATTGACGACAATGATATAGGAATCAAATCAGAAATTAGGTATCTTGGACTTATTCTCTCTTCTGATCTCTCCTGGTCTTCCCATGTCTTAGCAATCTCCAGTAAAGTATTCCGCCTGACATTTTACACTAAGTTAACGTCGTTGTCGATAGGCACTTGAATTCGTGCAGTAAATTTGCTAGAGGGATTTTGTCTGACTTGCAGTATCCGCTTTACCCTCAGCTTCCTTTCACCTTGCATCTCCTCAGGTTGAACAAGAAGTAACTTCAGAAAACTGTATGCTCGCACGTCTAAGTATAGAAATTCTATGATACCATACTTGTCACGTATTTTATGTGATAGTGAAATTAGTGTCAGTCAAGAATTAACTAACTAACCTTTCTCCCTCATCTAGTAAATAAACAATTTCCTCCATCCATCCATCCTTATATACCTTCAAGTTTTACTTTTATTATTTCTATTATATTTATGGTCCTGTTGCTTCTTTGTTTGTTTTACTCTCATAATTGCAAGCACCAACTTATCTCTACGACGGCTGTAATCTTTGTTTTTCCCTTCACCATCACCATCATGTAAAGAGAACATTATATTCTATATTTTTAAACATGTTAGGATTTCTATATTGCATTGCCAATACTGTGTGAAACAAGCCCACAGTAATTTTCACTTGTATTATCATTATTACCCTGGCTGTTATCATTATTATTGTTATTATTTCCATTTTATATGCTGCATGTTTTTGACACTACCTCTACTGTAAATGTGGAAAATTTTCTGTATAATTACTTTTTATTTATAATTTGAGGAAATTAGATGCAGTAATATTGTGTGTGAATATTGCTGAAAATTCCATTCTCTATCACAAGTACTGTTTTTGGAATAAATTAAATCATTATTAGTATTATTATTTCATCGCTTTCAAGATGTTAATTCATATAAATTAGAAAATGTTTTAGTAATAATAATAGTGAGCTAAAAATATTTAGTCAAAATAAAAAGAAGTTAATTGGTGGATGGTGATGGATGACTAGCAGTGTAATCCCGGATGATAACGCGCATTTCGTCCTACTTGGGCACTGGCTCGTCATCCAACTGGATGTACACCTGCATCCCCAAAGCAACGATTAAGTGTGGTGATGTTCTCACCACCAGTGAGACTCGAACACAATGCCAATAGTTTCATACACCATCCAAAGTCTTATCTACTGGACCACTTGAGCGATGAGAGCCACATCTCTCTTGTGCAATGCGTCTGAATAATTAATTAATTAATTGAATCAATTTTAGATTCTCCCGTCCGCTGATTGTGATTGTACTGAAGTGCTTGGTGTCATGTTGACATGTCTGCCAACTTCTAGTGCAGATATTTCCACGATGTATTGGCATGTAAATAGAGACCGAGCACTTCAGTCCAATCAATTGACGGAAAAATATAAAGTTGAATTAAATAAAGCAATAAGAAGACGTAATTTGTCTTCTTAAACCTTAAGCTATCCAAAATTTTCCATTATTTATACTGAATCTGATAACTTATTTATTTTGCTTTGATTATTCAATTATGTGTCCAAGCCTTATTACCTTTTTTTCGCGATGACTTAAAATGTTTTGAACCGGACTGATTTACGAGTTTCTAATAAAATGAAGGGCGTCGGTGGCATAGGGGTTAGGACGCTGGCCGACCATGCATATGGTCCCGGGTTCGATCCCCGTCCGACGCACTCCATTATCTCGCTAAGCCAGAAATAATGCTGGTAAAGAGGAAAGGTTAGGCATGAGGCTAGCAACCCCATCCTGTAAAAATAAACACCACTGCTACAGAAACTTCAAGCCACTAGCTTTAAGCCCTGTGTTCCACTGGGGGAACGTGAAGGAAAAAAAAATGAAGGAAAAGCATTAAAACCCCCTACAATGCACCCAATAATACCAAGAGTGGAAGCAGAACTATCAGTGGACATCTATGCTCAACAGAAATCTTGAAGGCAATAAAGATACTAAAAACTGGAAAAGCAGTAGGTTTAGACGGAATCCTCAGAGAAGCATTGAAAATGGACTCAGAGACATCAGCGGACTTGATGACACCACTACTATAGAAAGTGTGAAAAGAGAGCAATGTACCTGCGGATTGGAAAAAGGAATATTTATTCAAACTGCCAAGAAAGAAGAAAGACTTAAGTCGATGCGAGAATTGGCGTGGCAACATGCTCCTGTCTATGGAAAGCAAAATACTAAGCTGATTCATCATCCTGGAGGGAATCAAATATGTCCTGGATAAAAACTTCGACGGGAACAGGCTGGATTCAGGAGAAACATTCATGCCTCAATCATATCGCAACACAACGTGTCATCATTGAATAGAGCTTGGAATGGTAGTCAGTTGTCTACCTCTACCTCAGCTGTATCGACTTTGAAAAGGCCTTCGATAGCGCAGCGTCAATCGAGAGATGATTTGGGAACTACTTCGCGACTGCCAAAGGGTTCCACCAACAATTATTCACCTCATCCAGCAAATGTACGACAATGCTGTATGCCAAGTAATGTGAGTATGAGTATGACAAAGCTGTCTACTATCTACAGTGATTTTCCTGATTGCAGTAGACTGACTGGATAATGCGATAGACACACAGCAATCAACGAGGCATAAAACGGACCCACACAAAAAACTTGTCCGATTTTCCACGAACTGGAAGATGATGTGCACGTGAAAAGAAACAAGTTGGCGATAGAAGAAGCATCCAGAGAAGATATGGCTTCACTTCAGGTGAACGTAGAGAAAACAGATGTGGTGATGATGAAGATTCCTGGATAACAGTAACCGTGTCAACAACAACAACAGACAACAGTCAGCATAAATGTGAGGAAGCTGAAACAAGCAATCTCCTTTACCTACCTACCGACATATCTGGAGAGCATCGTTTCAACTACAAGTGGTCGCAGCTGATGAGGATCTCATCAAACCGAGGATCAAGAAGGTAAGACAAGTCTTTAATACTACTATCAAGTTTGTGTGGTGATCAGCAGAACTCGGCAAGAAAAATGAGACCTGGATTTTCAACTCCAGTTTGAAGTCAGTGCTGCTTGCTATTCAAATCAGAGACTTGGCGGATCATGAAGGGCACGTTGAACAAACTACACGCCTTCATCAACAGCTGGTTTTGCTCAATACTTCACTCGCTGAAGATCAGATGGATAGCAAGAAAAGATGAGCAATAGGCAGGGAGGGATCTCTGGCAATGAATCAAAGAACCAACCCAATTCAGTAGAAAGCAATTGTGCAAGAAATATGCAGGGATAAATGGAGGTGGATTGGATTGGCCACACTCTGAGAAAACCATCAAGTGAGTGACATCACACGCCAGGACACCGCTCGAGTGGAATCTTAAAGGAAAGTGGCGAGTTAGTCGTCGGTGCGAGGGTGACATGGAGGAAGTTATGTGAAGACGAGACCAAAGCACACAAGGCCAAAGAGGAAAGTAAGAACAAATGCGAAACGGAGATAGTAAACATAAATATGAGGCAAAAAGAATATTAATATGATAGAACAATATAGTTTTATTGGATATTATAAGCCAGCCAGCCATCTGTTGGGAACGATCACTTTGAGCTGGCCATATAACCAGTCGTCTTCAGCCTTCGTTGGTTTTTGTACCATCCCGAGGACCATTAACAAACAGTTAGGAAGTTTACACTTCCTTATTTGACTGACAGGCAGGCAGACAGGCTGGGTGACTTTAACTAACTATTGTGGATTTTGATTGACTGATGAAGTCATGTTAGTTTTGGTTTGATCCCCATTGACTAACTCTTTTCCAATCTGATCTATCTTATAACAGTCTGCTAACACTGCTTTTCGTCAAGGAAGGCGATGGCTAGTAATGCATGCATGCGTAACACATGTCCTAACCATCTCTCTCTCTCAATCGATGCAACCTGCTTCACAGCGTCGTCGACTGATTTCCCCTCCTGCTTACCTTGTATTTTACCGATGCCTGACCTCCTTCCTTATGCATATGCAATTAATAATATTGACAGTTATGATTGTGACTACCCACCACTTTTGTTACTACCCTGTTTTTATTATTACTATATCAAAATAAATTTTGCCCATAATGGAATTATACTCTATCACCACAGTGGACAAGTTCTATTCTTATACCAGTGGATTGATATTGTTGACAGAACCACTGGAAGCCACTGGTACGAACCCACCGACGGAGTTGAAACCCTGCTGTTACAGCATAACAAACACACACTGTGTGAAACTATTTCAAAATGGAAATTTTTACTCACTATAGCAAAACGGACGGGGGTTTTACCTAACACATTCTAACACATAATTCAAATAGACGATAATGTGGCCATCATATGATTGATAAACAGCGAGAGAGAATGGGAGAGAAAGAGAGAAATAGAGAGATTTTTACCTGGACAGGAATATAGTTTATTTGTCTGTCGAATATCACCGGGACTTAGTTGAATTCTTTGACCAATCGGTGGTCGAGGACAACAGGCTTTTGGTCTGATCGTCTCATCTTTATTCGCTTTTGCAAAGGTGCCTTTAGCATAATGCATGATAGAGCTGTAATCATATGGTTCACCAAGAGAGTTCACTTCACCTGGATCCATTTTTTTAAAGTTGAAATCTTGTCCTTCAACAACATTGTCAAGTAGAATATCTACATGTTCTGTGAATAAAAAAGGGAATAAATAAATTAGAAAACATTTTAACCATTTTTTAAAAATAACTTAATGATAAAAAAAATTTAAGAAAATTAAAATATAATGACACCTTCTGTTGTTATGCTTGATTCAACTGCTTTCAATCCAAATTGAAGATCAATTCATTATAATAAAGGTTTTTGTATTTCCCAATGAATGAAAAACAAGACGGTAATATCTTTTTATTTATTGACGTTTCGCTATTTAATGCTGCTGCTAATAGCTTTCTCAAAGCAGTATTATTAAACCGGAATTTACAAAATCCACTCAGCATATACCTAACAAACAGTTAGGGGGTCAGAAAAAAAATGTAGATAAGATAAGACAAAATTTACTAACTTGATCATCGCTCGTTAGTCTGGAGTCATTTTTGGTTGTCAATTTGGCGAATTGGTAAAGATAACAAAATCAAGTTTACATTGTTGGATTTGATCAGTGTGTTAAATTATAAAAGCAGTGTGTGTGTGTGTTTACATAGTGAACTTGCTTATCACATTTGTGTTGATTTTGCCACTTCATGGGGGAGGGGGTTGTTGTAGCCAGGTCAGATTCTGTTTTAGTCCATCATTCCTATTCACTGCAGACAATTCGGATTCCACTTGATATGAAGTGCTTCTGATGATATCAGACGTTCTTTGTGGTTTCTGAAGTTTTTCTGGATGACGATTTCAATATTGTCAAAATCAATTTTGTGACCTGATTCTATAGCATGTCGACAGACTATGGCTGATGATTTTTGAAGTTTTTCTAGTTCAATTGGATTTTTCGGTGGTTGAAGAGATGCTCTACGGTGTTCATTACTTCTGATTTTGATTTCTCGAAATGTTTGTCCGATGTAGATCGCGAAACGGATGAAGATGTCAAAGCCAGTCATAATCAGAAAGGCGAGATACTCACGCCTTCATCGACTTGAAACCAGTTTCGATATCTTCCACTGTCACTCAGCATTAGGAAACAAGATTTGCATTTTCAACAACACTATGAAGTCGGTCAGAGAAAGGATTTCCCACGTCTTGTTTCAGACTTTCATCAACAGCTGCCACCTTCGCTGACTGCCTACCTATTGAATATCAAAGTGTCAGCCGGTCAGAAGGAGGAGAAGTAACAAGAGACTAGGTAGTGGAACAAACCAATCAACGAAGAGCCGACCACCGCTCAACAAATATGTAGGAGAAAATGGCGGTGGATGGATGGATGGATGAATCGGGCGTACACATTGAGAAGACCGCCAAATTACATCGCATGCAATGCAGGCCATTCATGACTCGAGTGGAGTGGAAATGGGAAGCGACGGACGAGTGGGTTGTCGATGCTACTGTGACATGGAGGAGATCGTGTGCGTGAGTTGGAGGAAGAGATGAGAGAGAGAGAGATAGTCTGGTCAATCATGGAGCTAACCAAAGGAGAGGTGGACGGTAGAAAAAGACAGAACGAAGTGAAGATGTGTTGTTGAAGCCAGCGATATTTCTCAGTCAGAACTCAAGGGAATCGTAATAATAATTGCGATAATTATGATGATGATGATAATAATAATAATAATAATTATAATAGTTTCAAACTTACCATCTCGATCCGGTCTAGTGTGTTCATGCCAAAATCCAATTACATGACCAAGTTCATGGATCACAATTCCTTTCTTATCACAGTTTTTACCAATAGATATAGCCTGAGGTTCATCTTCACTACGTCTTCCCACATATGAACAGCAACTGGTGATTGTAGTAAAGATACAAAATCAAAAATTTCATCAAAAAACACAATATTTGATTATCGTTCAGATTAAGTAAAAGAAAATATTTCATTTTAGTGATACCTTAAACAAAATAATCTCTCAGGTCGCCAGTTAGAGAACCAATGAAAAGCTGCCTCGAGGATTCCTATCAGGCAGCTGTTTCGTCAGCTTAGTTTTCTGACTAGCTCTTCAAGAGTGCGTACGCACCCACCACATCGGAGTTAGATCCCTGGACCTTCTGGTTACAAGGCAAGCTCCTTTACCATTCGGCGGCGCGCCCTATTCCATGGCCAGCCACTGAATGAATTTTAACTTCTATTAATTCGTGATGCATTTTGCGGTACTAGGACCAACCAAGATCATTGGTGGGAACTCCATCCACACTCCCGATCGTGAGATCCTAGGTTCAAAGACCAGTGGGCGCATACTGCCGATGAGTCCCAAACTACTAGAAGAAATAGCTCTCCAGTACTCCCAGCTGGTTTTCAATGGGTTTGCAACTGATATCAGTCTTTGATCTAATCTGAAACAAACAGGAACAATACAAGCTGATTCTTGAAAACATTTCTCAGGTTTTGATTTGAAGGTAATTATTCATTATTCTCAAGATTGATCACAAAATCGCTGAAGGTTTTAGGTTAGATCCTTGATGAAATCATGCGTGGATAGTACTGGAGAGATGATATTAGATGGTTGAAAGGCCATCAACAGGAAGTCTCAAACCTATGTTGACCTATCTATCGCCTCCAACTACCACCTAATATCAACAATTTAAAGTGCACCGTGATGGCTAGCCACAACCTAGTGTGTTGGGCACATTGTCAACTTGACTGACTGATAGAATTCAGTCTGCACCAAGCGAAGGGCTAGACAAACTGCGCTAGGCACTGACTAGTGTTTCATCAAAGTACTGAAGAGTCTCAAATGAAGACGAAATGGCTCTCTCTCCAGTATTCCTTGGTTCACGTGATCTAACTTGAAATCACTCCTGGTATTATGTCGAGCTTTTTTCCATAATCGTATATACTACTGACTATTATTAACTAACTTGATTGATTTGGGATGTTGTATTTGTATCGAGATGTTGGATACAGTTTTTATCTTGGTGCAATAACTTCAAAATTTAGTGACAGAAAAAAGGGAAATAAATTTCTTGACGAGCACTTTTAAACGACAAAAACCATGAGGCCTTCATTTTTTTTTGTTTTTTTAGTTTCGTCACGAACTGATATCTATTGGAGAACTAGTAGAAAACCTCCGAGGAGTACTGGACAGAGCTATTTCATTCTGGTTACTTGACTATTTTGCAGTACCCATCCACCAGGGTTCGAACCTAGGGATTTCATCAGGGTAAAAAAAGGTGAGCTCGCAGCAGGCTATGCAGCTAAAAGGGATCCTTTGTGATCGCCAGTCAATGAATTCTACCATCTACCAATTAGTGATACATTACCAGTCAATGCCATCAGTTAGCAGTTGTCTAATTTCATGTTATCAGTACACAGACTGATCTTCCCACATTTATAGATAAGACTAGGAAAATCTCTATGTAATATAGAAGAACGCCCAAAATTTCATCAGTTTGCTGTTGTAAGAAAAGAGCTCAGAAACTGTGTGCTTACTTGAAATGAATTTCACCTGATGAGTGATGTAATGCAATGTCATGAATTAGCTCGAGATGCATGTGTAGGTGGAGCAGACTGTTTTGCTTCAGTTGACGACTGAAATTCCCTAAGTTACGGCGAGTTGTCATCTGAACTGGTGACGACTAGTGGTGTCCGTCAAGGATGCCCATTATCCCCTTTTCTATTCAACTTCATCATAGATGTGACCCTAAGTGACTTCAGCGATTCAGGGATAGACTTGCTACCAGGGAGGGAATAATCTCGTTGACTTAGAATATCCAGACGATATAGTCCTCCTAGGCGACGACTCTAACAAAATACAGCAGAGTCTTCTAAACACCTTGAGCAGCAATCTACGAATGTTTGGCATGCGAGCGATTTGCTCCCGCCAAATGCAAGATGATGTTACAGGACTGACTGGACTACATCGACGCCTAGTTTAAAAATAGGAAGTGAAGTGGTAGAGAACGTTGACCGATTCACTCATTTGGGAAGTCCCATCAGCCAATGCCAACGGATTGATCTCTGACGAAATCTCGACACGGATACAGGGGGCTCATTTCGCATTAGCCAGTTTACGCCGACTCTGGCGTAGACGAGATGTTCGACTATCGACCAAAGGGCGAGTGTACTGCTCATCAGTCCGCTCCGTCCTCCTTTATGGCTGGCTGGCTGGCTGTGAGACCTGGCCACTGTGAGTGGAAGACATGAAAAGGGTGACTAGCTGTCTTTAATCAAAGGTGCCTGCGTTCTATCTCCCGTGTGAAGTGGTATAATAAGGTGAGCAATATTGAGGTTAGGCGTTGGTCGAGTTCTAGGTAAACAGGGGAAATCAATCGACGAAGTCGTGAAGCCACAAAGACTGAGATGGTTAGGACATGTGTTAGGCTTGGCAGCCTGGTCATCGCCTTCCTCGATGAGCAATGTTAGTGGACATAGGGTCAGGCTGGAAAAAAGCTAGTGGAGGTCAAACAAAAACATGGTTTCACCAGTCAATGAAATCCACAACAGTTAGTCTAAGCCACGAAGGAAGGTGTAGACTTCCAGGCTGGGGTCCTCGGGACGGTAAAAATTAATGAAGGCTGGAAACAATTGGTGATATGGCTGAAAATCGTTCTCAGTTGCTGGCTGACGCAGATGCATCCACTCCTTGTGACTGATGATTTCCAATGGAACTGTTTTGTTCTTCGTTATTACTCCTTTGTCTCACACCTCTGTTTACTGTCTCTATTATGCTTTTCTTGTACTTTCTTCTCTTGGTTTGTGTGCTACATGGGGGAAGTATGGCGACTTGAACTTCCGCACATTTGTGCAAAGTTCTATGTCGAAAACATACAGACAGAAAAGTTTTCTTATAGACGTCCAGACAATGATCACTGAAAAAGTTAGAAAAAATTTGGGTCTTTTAGTATGTGATATTCATGATATTAAAGGTTTTTATGTATTTCTTATAAATGAAAAACCAACGATATTGTCGTTTGTTTTTACTGACGTTTCGCTAATCAATGCTGCTGCTAACAGCTTTATCAAAGCAGGAGTAATAATAAACTAGAAGAATTTACTATGTCTCAGCATATATCTATAAATATACACAACAACTTGGTCATCGTTCATCAGCATGGCGGGTAATTCTGTTTACATTGTTTTCAAGTTGACCAGTTGGCGAAGATAACAAAACCAAGCATGTGTAACCCCATTATACCAACTATCTGTAGATTGTTGGATTTGATCAGTGTATTAAACTAGAAAAGTAGCGTGTATTTACATAGTGAAATTGCTTATCACACACATTCGTGTTGATTTTGCTATTTCATGGGGGAGGTGGTGTGTGCTGTAACCAGGTCAAATTCTATTTTACTCCATCATTTATATTCATTTCAGACAATTTATGTTCCATTTGATGTGAAGTGCTTCTGATGATATGAGGCGTTGTTTGTGATTTCTGAAACTATTTCTGGATGATGATGATTTCAGTATTGTCAAAATCAACTTTGTGACCTGATTGATTCTATAGCGTAGCGTGTCGTGTAGACAACCTATGGCTGATGATTTTCCAAGCTTATCTAGTTCAACTGGATTTATTTCTCGGTAGTCGAACAGATGAGGGTCTCTACACTGTTCATTTGTTCTGATGTTTGTCCGATGTATATATCGCATCATATTCGGAGTATTTTATTTTGTGAACACAACTTGATAGAGAATCTTTAGGGATTTGGTCGTTTACATGGACAAGGTTGCATTGTAGTGAGTGGGCGTGTCTGATGTTTTGACGAAAACTCTGGTAGCGTGTTCACCTCAAACTATGGTTGGGTGGGTACTACTGAAGAATATAAAACTAGGATGAAGCACCTGTGCCCACCACTGTCTGATTTACCATTTGGATTCTTTAACTGATGTCAATTCGTAATTCATGTTCCAACAAACCCACTCTTGAAAATTCAAGGCTCGGTTAATCGTTGAGGTAGCCAGCTGAAGAGGGCAGAAAAGTGTGTTGTTGAAGCCAGCTATATGTTCTACTCGGAACCAAAGGGAATAATAATAATAATATGATATAACAAAATACTGCCGGCTTCTAGGATACCTTACTTACCCACATGCCTTTTCAGTGAAAATTATGTAAGATCTGTGTTGTGGTTGGCGTTCAACAAAACTGAGACAAGTGTAGTTTTCCCAATGACGCATTGCTTTCATTATTGTAGCTTTTGTTTCACCTAAACCAGTAAAAATTGAGAAAAAAAAATAGTGGTGTTTTGACAGTTTACCTTGTAGAAACTGCAAAAAAACATCCCAAAAAACATTTTGTTTACTGAAAAAAGTTTTTAAGTAGTTTGTAAAATTTCAGAGAATTTACGGCGGCATCTATTTAGATTTCTCGAGATGAATGATTGGACTAAAGTGTTCGGCTTCACGTTGACATGTCGGCTCCTAGTGCAGATGCTTCGATAATGTCTGTAACCTGAAGTCAGTTGGTGGATGGTGACTAGGATAACACTCATTTCGTCCTATTTTGCAACTCGTCAAATGGATCTACTCGAATTCCCCAGTGAGTCATTAACGGTGTATTTCCCCGATCGAGGCTCGAAATAAGTGTCCACAGTTTCAAACAAAGTGTTACCTACTAGACCACCTCTTGCACAACGAGTCTTAATACCTTATGAATTCATTTTTATATTTTCCCATATTAATGTCCACCTAGGTCAGAAGAGAATGAATTGTTCCAATTGGTTGGCCTTTGGCCCTAGGTCAACAAACTGTCCAATGAGTCATTTCATGTTTACGACGTAAACTAAATCCAGATTTGAAGATTAAAACTGATTTAAAATAAAATTATTGGGATCGATGGGGAACTTCTTCTGTATTTTGATGGATTTGAGCTTACTGTTCAAATCTGATTCGGCATTCACAGCTCGTTGACTCTGCACCAAGGTAACATATTCATTGGACGATTCTCTTTCACTTGATGATAACTCGAAAAGAGGAGAAGACGTCTGTGATATGTGTTTGTCTGCAAATCGAATATACACAAACCAAATAGAATCAATAAGGTTTCTAGTGTGACGTTGGGTGGTTTTAGAATTAAGATAAATATGATGCCTTTTTGGAGTGGCTTCCAGAACCACCAAAACTCTCCAACATCACACTAGAAACCTTATTGATTCTATTAGTCCCCGAAGATATTCGCGTATACCTTGGTGCAAAGCAAACGAGCTGAGAATATAAAATCAGATTTGAACAGGAGCTACAAATCCATCAAAGTACGAAATAAGTTCCCCAATGATACCAATAAATTTGTTTACAATCACTCACTCCTCTGTCAGCTTGTCGACAGTTAGTCAGTTAGGAGTCCCTATCCTAAATGTTGAAATTTTGTGACATTAATCTATACAGTAACAGACTGGCCCTGATGGTGGGTCCAGTTTACCAGATAACGAGTGTGTCATAATTTTAAAAAATATCATCTTGATTGAAGGTTATTCATTATATTGACATACATTAAAAATAAACAAATTACTTGAAAAATTTGCCTGTATAATGTAGGGTATAACCCCATTGGGCCATGTTCTTGAGACATACGCTGTAGCTGCCCGTCTTGAACGTCTTTTGCCTTGATAAGATCGCCTAGTGTTGATTTGTTCTGGAGTAAGATTTAATTTGTTAGGCTTTTGAGATGAATAGGTTTGATTTAGTTGGATAAATGCTTCCGTTTTAGCCAGAAGTCGACGATATTTTTGCCGTCTGAGTTGTTCTTCCCTGTTTCGCTGTCTTCTTCTTCTTCTTTTTCTTCGACTTCCTCTCCCATCGTTGACATCTTTAAATTTTTTAGATTGAGTATTTCCCACGTTGGTGTTATTTTGTTGAATGAAGTTTTGTTTTCGACTGTTTGAACTGGTCGTGACGTGTACACTGTAATACAGAAGACAAGGCAATTAAATTCATTAGGACAGAAGAAGAAGAAGAAGACGAATTAAACGACAACAAAATCCCATTCTTAGGTGTGTTTGTCTTAATCAAGACACAAGAACATTGAAAATCAACGCACACGGAAATACACATACCAAATACTGAGCCATGGTAATAATAATTATTATGATTGCCTACGGTTCCAAGTGGAACGCAGCACTGGCTTCAACAACACATCTTCACTTCGTTCTGTTTTCTACCGTCCTCCTCTTCAGCTGGTTAGCTCAATGATTGACCAGACTCTCTCTCATCTCTTCCTCCAACTCACGCACACGGTCTCCTCCATGTCACAGTAGCATCGACAACCCACTCGTCTGTCGCTTCCCATTTCCACTCCACTCAAGTCATGAATGGCCTGCATTGCATGCGATGTAATTTGGCGGTCTTCTCAATGTGTACGCCCGATTCATCCATCCATCCATCCACCGTCATTTTCTCCTACATATTTGTTGAGCGGTGGTCGGCTCTTCGTTGATTGGTTTGTTCCACTACCTAGTCTCTTGTTGCTTCTCCTCCTTCTGACCGGCTGACACTTTGATGTTCAGTATGTAGGCAGCCAGAGAAGGTGGCAGCTGTTGATGAAATTCCACCACTAGCTGATGGAAATCGTTTTCATGAAGTACATGCAGTACATGCAATTTTTTGACCCCTATGTAAACACTGACCAGACCACCAGACTAAATTGAGACTGGTGTTGAAAATCCAAATCTGGTTTCAAGTTGATGAAGGCGTGCGTATCTTGTCTTTCAGATTCTGACTAGCTGGCTTTAACATCTTCGTAGTTGTAACGCTGCTTCATTGTCAGATAAATAAAGGAGTCAACCTGTGTTAAATCTGTCCTATTGATGGTGTTTAGTGCTGGTTGTTGTCGTTGTTGTTGGTGGTGATGTTTGCTTATCTTCATCACCTCTCTCTCTTCTCTGTGTTCACCTGCAATCGTGCTGTCATCGCTGCCTAGCTGACTTCCTCAGCCAGTTGGTTGGTTTTCGCTTGCAACTCTTCTTGTATTTGTGTGACATTAGACATATATCATCTGTGAAATGCAAATCTTCTAAATTGACGACAATGATATAGGAATCAAATCAGAAATTAAGTATCTTGGACTTATTCTCACTTCTGATCTCTCCTGGTCTTCCCATGTCTTAGCAATCTCCAGTAAAATATTCCGCCTGACATTTTACATTAAGAAGTTAAAACAGTCGGGTATAACTCAACCCCCCTCTTCTTACAGTTCATAAACTCTTGCTTGCATCCTACCTATTCTTCTTCTTCTCTATTGTTCACCCCTGCTTATTCTTTCCTGATTTGCTTAAAAAGGACTATGGCACAATTTGTAGAATGCCGAAGACAGTCAGTCAGTAGGGTGAGTGATGTCCCAATGGACCACATAGTTAATGCTGTTGTCGATAGGCACTTGAATTCGTGCAGTAAATTTGCTAGAGGGATTTTGTCTGACTTGGAGCATCCACTTAACCCTCAGCTTCCTTTCATCTAGCATCTCCTCAGATAGAATAAGAGGCAACTTCAGAAATTTGTATGCTCGCACGTCTAAGTATAGAAATTCTATGATACCATACTTGGAACGTATTTTATGTGATAGTGAAATTAGTGTCAGTCAAGAATTAACTAACTAACCTTTCTCCCTCATCTAGTAAATAAACAATTTCCTCCATCCATCCATCCTTATATACCTTCAAGTTTTACTTTTATTATTTCTATTATATTTATGGTCCTGTTGCTTCTTTGTTTGTTTTACTTTCATAATTGTAAACACCAATTGTAAGCACCATATCATGTAAAGAGAACATTAAGTATTCAATATTTTTAAACATGCTAGGATTTCTATACCGCATATAAAGACAATACTGTGTGAAACAAGCAGCCCACGGCAATTCTCACTTGTATTATTATCATTATTACTACCTTAGGTGTTATCATTATTATTGTTATTTCCATTTTATATGCTGCATGTTTTTGACACTACCTCTATTGTAAATGTGGAAAATTTTCTGTGTGATTAATTTTTATTTATAATTTGAGTAAATTAGATGCAGTATTGTGCGTGAATAATGCTGAAAATTCCATTGTGTATCACAAGTACTGTTTTTGGAATAAAGCAAATCATTATTATTATCATCGGTCGTCCAGCATAATCCTAGAACTGAATCCAATAACTCACAAACGAAACTGTGTGAAGAGACATTGTTTCAAAGAGTTCAAACACACTTTACCACTACTTCGGTGTTGAAGAGAATGCAGGAAGAAAAATATCTACTAGTTGACTAGCTTGATAATTTTTTTTCAGCCGGTCTCAACTCCAGGTAAAGAGAGAAAGTTGGGCGTTGGAATAACAACTCTACACCGCGAAAGATCAGTCAAACTGCTACATGGAATTCAATGCACATTAGAAATTTATTAAAAATTGCAGAACATCCAAAGAACGATTTTATTATTTGGCAAAATGGGAGAGGCGAAATGACGGAGCGTGCTGGCTGGCGAAAGCCCTCGTGAAGTTAGTCAGTCAGTCGATGTGTCTTCTATCGATGATAGCAAGAATGGAGAGTGGGGACGTGGAATGTCTGTTCAAGGCGCGAGACTGGGAAGCCTGTCTTAGTAGCCAACGAATTGTGAAGATATGGCATAGAAGTTCTGGGTATCTGTGAAAGCACGTGGAATTGTTGTTTGTGCATTATCGGAACTGTCAGCTGGTAGTCAGTAATCTACTCTGGCCACCCAGACGACAACCATGAGTACACAGAGGCAGCTAAGGGCTATAATCATGTCGCCATCGCAAACCCAAGCCCTGATGCTGTGGAAACCAATTTTATCCATGATCATGACAACAAGATTCAACTCAGATGGAAGGTCACAACCATCCAGGACTACAGACAGTGCTGTAAACAACGCGGAGCAAGAGAGGAAGGAAGATTTCTACAGACAACTGCAAACAGTAATGGACGACATACCGAATGGTGGCATTGAAGTCCTTGTCGGAGATATGAATGGCGACCGAACTGGGAGCGGATAATACAGGAAGAATATTGTTGAAGCCCTACGTTCCACTTGGAACTCAAAGGAATAGTAATAGTGTATTGACAACTGGCTTCACAAAGAATGAATATCCTCACAATTTCGTCATAAAGTGTTTAAACTCCAGAGTCATAACGCCAACAGGAAACCGTCGTCAAAGACTACAAGAAAGTTCATTCTACCATATATATATATATATATATATATATATATATATAAGAGAAAGTATCTCTGAATTAGCAGTCAGAACACTAAGACCATTTGAAATAGATGCAGTACACAAACCAGCCAGCCAGCACAATCACTTCATTCGATATTGTGCAAACCGAAAGAGTCATTGAACACCAAAAAGAAGATAAAAATTAAATACCATTTACAAAATAAATTACAAAATAAAATTTGATCTAAATCAGATATGTCGGCTATGAAGAAAGAACTTAGTGGGTGCGTTGGTGACACAACCACGCCCCTTTGTGGTCCGGGATTCTTCCACCTCTTTTTGGAAACCGGTGCACTTCTCGCTACCTGTCAGTAATAAGACTGGTAAAGTAGGAAGGTTGGAGGCATGAGGCTTGTCACGTCACCACGTAAAAAAAAAATAAGCATCACTGCTATTGAAACTTCAAGCCCAATGTTCCAGTGGGGTGTAAAGGAATAAAAATAATTCATTTAAACATCTACAAAAAACCGAAATTGAGCAAAGAATATCCCATATCGCATGAATGAAAAGTCAATCTGAACCAAGAAGAATATTCTTTTCAATAATTTCTCCTCTTCAGGTTCTTACAGTTATAAAATATACTATTTGTAGTCTTTACAACAAAGGCCAGTTATGCGGTGGCGGCGGCGGCGGATACATTTTTAACGTAGAATAACAGATTAGTAGTTATGGGATGTCAAAATCAATAGTCATATTTGTGTGACAAATATGCTAGGCTGAAATCGATTACCAAAATATTGTAAAACGGGAGACAATGGTGGTGATTAATCATAATAGAATTGTAAAGTGTGGGGTAGGAAAATTGACAAATCAGTTCAAGGTTATAAAAGGTGTCAGGTGAGTGGAGTGGCTAGTACAAAGTGGTCTGAGTTGAACAGGGGATAGTAAGACTGCAATGAGAGGTTCAAAATGAGATAACGAATATGTTAAATGAAACAGGTGGAGGCATATATTGAGAAAACAGATAATATCACTAATAATAAGTCCGTAAAAATGAATGAAAATTCGATAGTATTGAGGCAATGTTTGCATAAAGGGCATAAATTATGACGAATAATACTAATAACTGTAATAATAATAATATTTATAATAATAAGCAAAGTAAAAACGAAAAAAATCACCAAGAGGGTTAAGGGAAGGAGCACTATTGGTGAGAAGAAAAATCTTCAATCCAAGGTTGGCCACGGTAGGAACAGCGTCTGGACGTGTTCTTTTTGGATACACAATTCTGGTTTAGTCGATCTTATTGCAACAGAACAGCTTCAGCTATGTGTAGGAGACGTAAGCCAACTGACTGTACGTGATAATGACTTCGGAATTCGGTATATAACCCTGAAAGCTGTATTGACATCGACACGATGTCCAGTATCGACCAAGTGTGACAGAATCGAGCTTTTTATGCACTTAATTTCCCCCCTGATGTAACGACCAAAAATATTATACTATATTTTATAATTGTAAGAACCTGAAGAAGAGAAATTATTGAAAAGAATATTCTTCTTGGTTCAGATTGACTTTTAAAGAATATCCTTTTCGATAATTTCCTCTCGTTCCGGCTCTACAGTTATATCTATATGTATGGTTATATTCACAAAATAGTCTAGAATAGTCTCGTAAACACCAATGCTGCTGTGCTTTCTAACTACTATCGATTTATTGATTAAGATCCCAATGGAATTACAGACACTTCAGG